TGACCTCTTAATTTTTAGGAGGCACGGCTAACCGACAGTATCCCCTTGATATAATTATTTTATCTCACCATTTTATACAAATCTAACGTGAAAAATTGAATAGCTACCACCTCAGATTATTATTATTTTAAAACAGAAAAAAGAGTAACGTCACTTCGCCCTCGATTACTATTTCTTTTATTCACTGCCAGTGTAGGAATTCCCTCTTTCCTTTTCCTTCTCCTCATCTCCCCTTATTCCATTACTTCCTTTGTGTTACACTGATTTCTCCTGGAGGCTTCAGATCAAGCCGAATGGGTGAAGATGAGAACAACAATTTTATCATCGAGACAAATTCTATTTATGGTATTGTCACTCACACTCTTTTCTTTTTTCTTTTTTTTCTTTTTTTAAATGGGCAAAGGGTCCAACTTTCAATAGATTCTTACTGCTTTTGCTTTGTATTTGTTAATTTTATTGCAATTTTTTTCTAGTTGTTCCGTTTATAATTAGGTGAACAATGGGTTTTTTTTTTTTTCTGCAACATGGGTTTGATTCCTATTCTTTTTGGTTGATCACAAGCTTCAATTGTTGTGTATTTGTATTTTATTGATTTTATATTTAAATTTTTATGTAATTTTTTAACTTAGATTGTGAGATTTAGATTAAGTTAATAAAGAGTTCATGGGAGAACATTAATTGCCTGGAGCATCTCTGTCATATATCTATCTTCTGTCATATATCTATCTTTTTAAGCTAAGCTAAATTTTATTTGTTTCTAATTCTGACTCATGTTAATGAATGGTGCAAAAATTCCAAATTATGAGGTTGAACCTGAAACTAATGAGAAAGATGTCTGTGAACCAAAGCCAGGGATGATATTCAATTTAAAGAAGGAAATTGAAGCTTTTTTATAAAAACTCTGCTTGGGAAAAGGGTTCAAGCATTAAGAGGAGAAGTTCAAAGAAAGGGGATGACAGAAGAATTATAAGTTTTGTGCTAGCATGTGAACATGAGGAGAAAAAAAGTCTATGCCGAGTAAGTAATTTAAGGTTGCCAAACCATTAAAAATAGGTGCCCAGCTTGGATCAATATTATATTAGGAAAAGATGGGAAGCGGAATATATCTACAATTCATAGTATGCATAATCATCAACTTAGTCCTTCCAAAACTTGGCATTTTAGAATCAACAAGGAGATGGATATGTATTCAAAAAGGAGACTTGATTTGAATGATGAGATTGGGATACGAGTAAACAAAGGCTTTCAATCAATTCTTTTAGAAACTGGAGGCCATGAAAATCTGACTTTTAGTGAGAAGGATTATCGAAATTATCTTCAAAAAGAGAGACGATGGAAAATCAAAGATAGAGATGGGGAAGCACTAAGACAGTGTCTTGTTAAAATGCATGATTTGAATGAAAATTTTTATTATGAGCTTGATTTAGATAATGAGCTTCATGTAAAAAATATATTTTAGGTTGATGCAAGGACAAGAGGCATATAAGGCATTTGGAGAAGTGTCATGTTTGACACAACTTACCTTAGAAATAAATATGATATGCCCTTTGCCTTGTTAATTTGTTGGAGTCAATCATCATGGTAAATCCATATTAATTATTGGGTTGTGGATTATTATCATACAAAGATGCAGGCTTTTTTGTTTGGTTGTTTAAAACTTGGTTGCAATGCATGTTAGGTATTCCCCCTAAAGCCATTATCACAGATTAATGTAAGGCGATACAAAATGTTATTTAGATGGTGTTCTAACCTAAGTAGGTTGGGTCACAGGTGGATCAAGTCATCCAAATGGTCTAAAATTTATTTATTTATTTTTTGTTAGATTATTTAAAAATTAATTTTAAAATTTTTTACTTCCTAATCTAAAAGTAGAAATAAATAAAAGGTTAAAACCTCATTTTGGTTCCTGAACTATTGTACGGACCCTCGATTTGGTCCTTAAACTAAAAAAATCCCTAATTTGGTCCATACAGTTTATCATTTGAACCCCCATTTGGTTCTTTCGTTAATTTTTCACATTAATTAACGGAGGAAAACAGAAGACGCATTTCGTGCCATACAAAAATTGACAAGTTGGCAAAAATAGATGATATGGCCATTCCAACTCATCTTACCCAAAAATATATTTTTTTTTTTCGTTTTTCTCTTTCCTCTTCCCTTTCTTCAGCTTCTACAAACCCTAACATCTCAACCAATCTCCAACATCTCAACCAATCTATTCATTTCAACCAATTTCTACCCTTGCTAGGTTCTTGTTCTTCATCATCATCATCAAACAAAAAAAATAAGAATTTTTTTTTTTAATTTTTGTGCCTGGGTTCGATATCAAGAACAACAACAAGACACAAAATATCACAAAATGGAGAAGACGAGTGTCTAGATTAGGGCTTACATCCAATAGAGGAAGAAGCTCATTGACTGAAAGAGGAGGAGACATGAGCATGTTCCCAGCTTCCTTCAGTTGCTCTGCAAGCTCTGTATTCGAAGATGCCATGGCTACTCTTTGCACAAAAAGAAAAAAACCTAAATAGATATATCTCTAGATCCCTGACAACCTCACACATGTCCCCCCAAAATTTCATACCATGAAAATCTAAATTCAAGGTAAAGAAACAGATTTCCATCAAACCCAGGCATGCTAGGTTTCATCAAACCCAGCACCTGGGTTTGAAGGAACCTACGCCTAGGTTCCATCGAATCCAAGCATGCTCGGTTTCAAGGAACCCAAGCGTGCTAGGTTCTTTGGAACCCAGTGCCAGGGTTTTTTACGAAGCCAGTGCCTGGGTTCTTTGGAACCCAGGCATGTTGGGTTCCAATGGCAAAGAGAAAAGGAAAAAGAAGAAAAAAATAATAAGAAAGAATTTTTTATTTTTTATCATATTATTTTTTTTTTCTATGTCATTATTGTAAGTCAACAAGTAAGACACACAAGTTAAAATTGTTGACAGTATGGTGTTAATGTGTGAATGTATAACGAAAGCTAATAATACATGTGCTGTACATGACCCTCCGATATTAA